AGATAGATAGATAGATAGATAGATAGATAGATAGATAGATAGATAGATACACACACACACACACACATACATACACACACACAGATATACACAGCGTTCCGTGTGCCTTCAGCGTTTTGTCATGCCGGCCACATGACCATAGAGAACGTCTTCAGACAGCGCTAGCTCTTTGGCTTTGTAACGGAGATGAACACCGCCCCCTAGAGTCAGGAATGACTAGCACATATGTGCGAGGGGAACCTTTACCTTAGATGGAGATCTAGATATTGATCCCTGCAAAATTGAAATTTTAATTCTATTTATTATTATATATGGAAACTGAAATCACAGCTTTTCTTATTTTCTTTTTCTTTAGCTGGTGTCGCACTCACATTCACATCAAGTTTTTCCTTAGAACCTAGGATGTTGTTACGTATCAACACGGTATATATGTAGATCCAAGTAGTGTGGCTTTTTCTAATTTGACAGATGGAAATTCTGTCAGGGTTCAGATTGTCTAAGTGTTTAGACTGGATTTGGCATTTCTATCCACCTATCAAGTCCTTTCCAAAGACCTGAGATAGGCAGAGGTCGAAGTTTCTTGGTGTCAAAGGTATTGTTGCAGGATGTAAGCTGTTCCAAGTAAAAGCTGCCCTTTGCAATTGACCGATGAGGATTTTGTCAATGCCAATGGCATTCAAGCGATGTTCCAGATATTTTGGGATTGCATTGCATCCAAGATACTTATTCTTATTCCTTTGCCACAGTTATTCTACCTCTATTTTCAGGTCTTTTGTGACTTTTTCCAATTCTTTTTCTTCTATTCTGCTGTCTCCAGATACTACTGATACCGTATTATTAAATCTATAGAAACACAGGAAGCTCCCAGTACTGATGACTATTTTATTGATTTTTGGATGACTTTTTGCTGCTACATTGGTGGGAGATTTCAATGATTTTCTGAAAATATTTTCCAGCCTCCTTAAATAATGCTTTTGTAGCAGTGCTTTTCATACAACAAAGGTTTTTTCTGGTTGTACAAGCTATTGTATTATTATGGTCCTAAATGTAAACTAGATAGTATTTTCAATTGTCAACTCTTAGGAGTGACTTCTTCATAGCAATTATGCATTTTATAATTGTGTACATTACAGTTGTAAATGTACCTCTTTCTCTAAACTTATGTCACTGCTCTTTCTATAATGTATCCTTTCCAAACATTGACCATAAATCATAAATACATCTTGTTTCCACAAAAAGTCCTTAAGGAGTTTCCAGATAGCATTAAACATAGATATTTTCATTAATTGAAGAAGTCAGTTAAGTATTAAACATATTGTTATTAATCAAAGAAGTCAGTTTGGCCTTCCCAGCAAATTCCATCATCTTCATTAACCATTTGTCTATGTCTTAAGTATTGCAAAATCTTTACATCTTTCAGTATAATCTCTTTAAGCTTCCTGTTGCACTTGTTGGGAGTTTTTGTGTAATCTCATCTGAAATTCCTCCAATTCCACTTTAAATACTTTTTTAGAAATTTTGGGCAGAATTCAGTCAAAGCTATGCCTTCCAATTTATCTCATCAAATGGACCCTTTTTGTTTTAATCTGTCAAAAAGAATAAATGCTCTTTTCACGTATACGAGATTCTAATGGAATTTATTTAAGAACAATTAAATGGGTATTATCAATCTTCAAACACAGGCACCCCAAGTTTGCCTGGAGCTAAAGACCTAGTCGGTAAATCTGGGAGAGAAAATGCCTTTCCAAAGGGGCTTTTTTGCCAACACAAAAATGTGAATCACAAAATAATTCAGGCCAAGCAAAAACCATTTATTAAGGGAGAGGTCAAATCTTTGTTTACATGGTGCAGAAAACAAATGATACATTCATTCAGTGTATGTGATGTATCAAAAAACAACAAACCAAGCCATAAAACTTAAATTAGATGTGAAAATGAAATAACGGTGATCCTGAATAACATTGCACAAGTGACAAATTCACCTATTATATAACACACCCTTTCCAGCAGAATTTGCATCTTTCTTAATACGGGTAGTCCTCTATTTCACGACGATTTGTTTAGTGACCATTTGAAGTTACAAAAAAGCTGAAAAATGTCACTTATGATTAGTTTTCACACTTATAACCGTTGCAGCATTTTCCATGGTCACATGATCAAAATTTTAAGGCTTGGCAACTGGCATGGACCTGTGACAGTTGCTCTGTTCTGGGCTCCTGTGATCACCATTTGTATTTGTATTTTTCATTTGTATTACTTGTTNGAGGCTCCTTGCCAAGTTTTGCAGATATCGGCCTGGCAGCTCTCCAAGCCAGATAAGGTCTGTGACTGTAAATCCTCCCTTGAAAGACTTTGCTGGATGCGAATGAGCAGAATTCACAGTCAGTTAATAAAAGGGTTTTTTTGTCGGGACAAGAAGTTTGCTTCATGCTCTTGGGAAGCCTCGGTCAGAACATCTTGTAGGTTCTTTAGTGTCCCCCCCCCCCCAAGCAAGAGACCCTACACCATTTCTGACAGAGGGCAGTCCAGTCTCTTCTTGAAAGCTTCCAGTGATGAAGCCCCCACAACTTCCATATCAACCTCTTTTCCATGGGTGGATTGTTCTCCCTGTCAGGAATTTTCTCCTTATTTCTAGGTTGAATCTCTCCTTGTTCAGTTTCCATCCATTATTGTGGATTGTCCATCATGGTGCCAGAGAGGCCTTAGTGGTATCGTCCCTCAGTTCAACCCACCTTGCAGGGTTGTTGTGTGGAAAATAGGCAGGCACTTAACGTCCACTGCCACGAGTTGGACAAAGCAAAGGTTTCAGCCTCTGCTTCACTGATTTGCTGCCATAGAAGCGGGGAAAGTGGGGGCTTGGTATTTGGGATGGGAATGAATGGTACAGGAGGTGATATGGAAAAGGGAGGTTTCATCTCACCATCTTCTGCGCATGCTGGTGGTCGGTGTTTGGACCTGGTCAAGGCCAACCGTCCTGCATACCAACCTGATTATGCCTTTTGGAGATGCACCCCACATGACACCAAAGGGAGTTGCACATTGGGCACAGGGGTGGGGTCATTGGAGGGAGGGGACTGGGTTATCACTTGATCTGTACTTGTTCGCGCCTTTCTGGCTCAGATCTTGCTTTACTTTTGCTGCTACCTTTTCATAACCAGTAAAAGTACCTTGATTCCACCGAACAATAGAGTCGGGAGTTTTCTTTCTTGGTTATTGATGGAGGCAGGCCTGTCAGAAGGAGAGAAATAAATCTAATGCAACTCGACCTATGACCACAATTGACCCCCCAAATTTCTGTTGTGAAGCCAGACAGCTGTTAAGTGAATTTTGCCCCATTTTACGACCTTTCTTGCCACGGTTGTTAAGTGAATCACTGCGATCGTCAAGTTAGTAGCACAGTTGTTAAGCGAATTGGGCTTCCCCATTGACTTTGCTGGTCAGAAGGTCGCGAAAGGGGATCGCACTACCCCGGGACACCCCCAACCGTCATAAATCTTGAGTCCGTTCGGAGCCCAAGCATTTGAATTTTGATCACGTGACCCTAGGGGCAGTCTGCAACAGTCGTAAGTGTGAAAAACGGCCGTCAGTCACCTTTTTCAGCACCGTTGTGACTTCAAACGGTCACTGAATGAACTGTTGTAGGTCCAGGAATGCCCATAAGATGCATAAATAAATATTCTTTTAAGTCCTGTGCGCAATAACACTTTGCATGGACACGAGTGATGCTAATTCTTTTTTTTCGGTCCTGTTTTAGAAACTTCAAGTATGAAGACGTCTTCGTTTCCATTCCTAGAGATATCGCTCGTCTCTCGAAACAAGCCGGAGTAGAAAAATTGATTCACTTTTCTCACTTGAACGCAGACAGTAAAAGTCCTTCAAAATACCTTAGGACTAAAGTAAGTTGTTCAGCAATGTTGTTGTTGTTGTTGTTATTTTTACATCCTGCTGCTCTGTAATTATATTTTAAGGGTCGCGGGGAGAACCTTAATCCTCTCCTCCGTGAGAATTTATCCGATCCTCTTTGAAAGCTACTGGTCATCATTAAGTCTTTATGGATTAACGTATTTTTTGGAGTGTAAGACGCACCGGAGTATAAGATGCGCCAAGATTTTGAAGAGGCAAATTAAAAAAAAAAAGTTTTTGCACTCTGCAGACCTCCCCAAAATGGTCCGTTTTTCATGAAAATAGGCCCATTTTTTGTCAAAAAAAAAAAGGGCATGCATAGCCTTTAGGAGGCTTGTAGAATGCTCTTGGGGGCTACTAAAAACAAGCAAAAAATTGCCCATTTTTTGCAAAAACAGGCCCATTTTTTAATCAAAAAAATGGCATGCATAGCCTTTAGGAGGCTTATAGAGTGCTCCTGGGGGCTTGGGGGGGGGCAAAAACAAGCAAAAAGCTGCCCATTTTTCACTCATTTTTACCCACCCCACCCCAGGAGCACTCCGGAAGCCTCCTAAAGGCTATGCACAGCCATTTTTGCAAAGGTTGAAAAAGGTGTGTCTTATACTCCGAAAAATATGGTAATTAACAGAGTTTACAACTTAACAAATTTGGTTTGGTCAGGTATGTTTCCACATCCTTATAGTCAAGTCCGTGTCTGGGAGGAAAAAAAAATCCATCTCCTATCATTTTCATTTTAATCATTTTCATTTTTGATGGCTGCCAGACTTTGGCTAAACCGAACCAGGTGCCAGTTCTCCCTTAAAGATTGTCCTCATTGCTGACATGTATTCAGCCTGGTCTCTCGGCCAGGATATTGAAATGATCAAATGTACAATTGGGACGAGCTCTCTGTAAGATCTGGCGGTTGAAATTACCATCTCTCTGGGGTCGGTGTGAGAAATTTGACAATCTTTCAATGGCTTTGATCACAGGCGGTAGGAGAAAATGTTGTCAGGGAAGAATTTCCAGATGCCATCATTATGAAGCCTTCTGATATATACGGGAGAGAAGATAGGTTTTTAAACTCTTACGCAGGTAAATATATTTATTGTAGTGTGTGTGTGTGTGTGTGTGTGTGTGTGTGTGTGTGTGTGTGTGTGTGTGTGTGTTCAGGCATAACTCTAGAATGCCTTGAGCAATTTCANCTGTAGTGGCCTTCAGTACTGCACCCTAACCACTGCGCCACCTCGGCTCCACTCGGTATGCAGGCAGCACACAAAGCATATCTCCATGGAACCAGTTCCTGGTACCCAAACATTTGGGGGCTGCTGGACTAGATGATCTCCAAGGTCCCTTCCAACTCTGTGTTTCTGGTTCTGTTATTGCAAGCAAAAGTAGCAGAAAAGCTGCTTCAGGGTCTGAAAATCAGGAAGGACCAAAGAAAGAGCAAGGGAGGCATCACCAAAAAAAGGGCTCAACTAATTTGCTCAGTTGAAGCTAAAGCTCACAATGAGATGAGGTTGCGTAGAATAAATGTGTTGTTATAGTCAGGATAAAGAGGAACGTATTCAGGGCAGTCCTTGAATTACAACAATTCATTTTAGGGACCGTTCGAAATTAGAATAGCACTGAAAAAAGTAGCTTATGACCGTTTTTCTCATGCAACACCCAAGTTACAGCATCCTCCATGGCTCACCAGATCAGAATTCAAACGCTTGACAACTGACTCACATTTGTGACAGTTGCAGTGTCCCGGGGTGATCACCTTTTGCAACCCGCCAACCAAACAGTCAATGGTTGAAACCAGATTCACTTCACAACAGTGCCGCTAACGTCACAATGGCAGAGATTCACTTAATAACCCTGGCAAGAAAGGTCGTACAATGCGGCTCAGCTCACTTAACAACTGTCTCACTTAACAATGGAAATTTTGGGGTCCAATTATGGTTGCAGGTCAGGGACTTAACCCGTATCGCAGCAACGAGTTAGGTAAAATCTTGGGAGATGAGGTTACGCATTATGTTCAATGTCCTTGTGTTTTAGGTTATGGCATTTCTCCCGGTGTGCTGTCGCTTCTTCAACAAGATCGCTCAGTTCATTATACGGTGATGCCACATGGGCGCAGTGGACGTTCCTCGGTCAGTGGTATTGTTGCCACAGTCTTTGGGGCCACAGGATTCATGGGCCGATATATTGTTAATCACCTAGGTAATATACAAGAACGACAGACTTCAATGATTAAATGCATGTTGTTTATTAATGTATTGCTCATCTGACGCACATATCCAATAATCAATACACCATTCAATTATGAAGGTAAATGCTACAAATTTATCCTAGCATTATCTGAAAATTTCTTTTAAATGAGCAATCGGAAGGATTTTTCATAAAATGATCATATACAGTATATCACAGAACTGAGTACACCCCCTCACATTTTCTAAGTATTTAACTTTTCATGTGACGACACTGAAGAAATGACACTTACAATGTGCAAGTGTTTATAATGTGAAGTAGTGAGTACACAGCTTGCATAACAATGTAAATGAGCTGTCCCCTCAAAATAACACAACACACAGCCATTAATGTCTAAACTACTGGCAACAAAAGTGAGTACACCCACTTATCATTTTTTCAGTGTTGTCACGTGAAAAGATATACTTAAATATTTACAAAATGTGAGGAGGTGTACTCCTGCGATATACTGTGTATGCAAAAGTAACAATATCAAATTATAATTTAGTATTCAGGACATTTAAAAAAGAATGAAGCTATTTTCAAATGTGGCTGTCGTGAATTAGAAAGAAATTTAACAAAAATGTTACTGTACACATTGAATTTAGATTACTTTTTTCATGGATCGTATAGAAAAGATATCTTTGATACCTACATACCATTGTTACACTAAAGTACATTATGGATAATACTGCAGATTCTGAATAAATTTTGAATGGAAAAATAATTTCCCCAACCAATGATTGTGTATGGGTGTTGTTGCTTTTATACCATTTTTAATGTTCCGACTGCTTTGTGTTCTTTTTCCTTTATGTGTTCTTGGGTATATTTATTTTTTGAGTTTTGTATTTTGTATTTTAATTTTGATCTGAAAAAAATAAAAATAAGTGCAAAAAAATCCTCTAATTATTTTCTCAGGCTGGTTATGCTGGGCAGGAATCCCCAAAACAAGTTATAACCCAACCAGTGTTTTTCAAGATGCCACATGTTAAAAACATTTGATTAAAGGCAAGGAATGTCCCTTTCTTTTTTTCCCCAAGTTTGGTGAATGAGAGTTGTCCCAAAGGTGCTTTTTTCAAGAGGCGGCTGGACTTTCTCGGTTTTCTTTGAAGACATTTTGCTTCTCATCCAAGAAGCTTCTTCAGCTCTGACTGGATGGTGGGGAAATGGAAGGGTTTATACACTTTGCAGACAGTTGGTCCTTTGTGTCCTTTTTAGAGAGTTGTTGACTTGGAGGTTTATCTCTGTCCTTAGGGTCCCCTGAGCAATGTAAATGGGTGTGGAGCCGCCTTGGAATTGCTGAAAGGACTGTGTGGCGGAGCTGTGCTTTCAGCAGGACGTTTTCTGCCCTGTGTCCCTTCACTGTTGAATCCAGGCACAGGCTATTGAGGATGAGTCTGGGTTTGCATCTCAAACTGAAGCGCAAATGGTTCCTGTAATCTGCAATTTTTCCGAAAACCCGTTCATACTCCCGCACCATTCGAAGGATGTTCCTCTCAAAGTACATAGCTAAAAATCTATGGAGATTCTCAGTCATCCAGGTCATGGTTGTCCCCAAAGTGGCTTTTCCCATTGAATCTCCGTTGACAATAAATAAGAGTTGCCCTCTTCAAAAATAAAATCCACATTGCACAAGTTATGTAAAAGGAACCACACTCATTCTGCCCCTTAAAATGTGGTTTCCCCCCCCCAAAAAAAATGCTTCTTTTTTTTTCTTATTTCCAATCAAACAGAAGTTGCAAGGTTTTTGCATTGTTTTCTAGAGAGAGCAAAATGTAACGTTAAAATGTGTATTTTCCCAATCCCAGTAAATTGTTAGTTTTACTACTCAGAAGTGTGGGGCAGGAGTTCAGTTCATAGTTTTAAGGCATAAACGTTTTTGAGAACTTTCTGTCACAAGACTGTCATAAAAATGGCATAAAATTTTGAGGGAGGTAAGTGCCACCACTAAATAAAAAAAAACTGCATTCTTCCCAAAAGAAAGCTTAACTGCAATTTAGGGTGTGTCAAAATTTTTCAACTTTCCATTTTCAAACATTAGGGGTGCTCAAAAGTTGTGACATGCCTTAGGGATTGTAAAGATATTTTGGTTACTTTAATATAATTTCGTTGTATCCCTTGGCAAATAACTACATAACTATATATTTTTTAACATTTTGTTTGTTTTATACAAGAATGAATTTAAGCTTAGAATAAGTTTATTATGTATTTGATTTAGCAGCTAAAAATAATAATTGATCAAACTTTGCAAGTCTCCAGGTAATCCAACAATTGAAATGTGGATTCACTTCTGTTGCTACCTTAGGGGGTGGGAAAAGTTGCACCAAAGAATTAAAATAATGGAACATCAAAGTTAGGAATGGCAATTCCACTCAATTTGGATTGATTTTTTAGTTTCTTTCAATAGGTTACAATATGATAATATTTTACATATGGTAACGTTTTATGTCTTTGGATTTTCTAAATCCTTTTTTCTATGCAACATGGATTTTGTTAACTTAGTTACTGTATAATGTTTGATTAGGGACGCGGTGGTTCAGTGGTTAAGACACTGAGCTTGTCAATCAGAAAGGTCAGCAGTTCAGTGGTTTGAATCCCTAGCACCGCGTAACGGAGTGAGCTCCCGTTACTTGTCCGAGCTTCTGCCAACCTAGCAATTCGAAAGCACGTAAAAATGCAAGTAGAAACATAGGAACCACCTTTGGTGGGAAGGTAACAGCGTTCCGTGCGCCTTTGGCGTTGAGTCATGCCGGCCACATGACCACAGAGATGTCTTCAGGCAGTGCTGGCTCTTCAGCTTTGAAACGGAGATGAGCACCGCCCCCTAGAGTGTGTGAGGGGAACCTTTACCTTTAATGTTTGATTAACAAACATTTAGATAAAAAAAGTAATTATTTGTGGCTACATGTAAGGTGAGATACTTTCTTCCTAATTCTTAAAAGCAACATGTTTTCTCAACGCAAACCCACCGTTAGGTGGTTTCAATCTCTTCCATTCACAGCATGGAAGGTTTGTGTCAATTTAAATATTTCGTATGGCTTATATTGGCACCTTAAGATTAAGGACAGGCAAAATCCACAAGATCAGAGGTTTGGGCTCCCTCTGTAAGCTTAGTGAGTTCTTCCTCAACAGCAGGATCTCCATCTCTGCTCTAACCCCCAAAATAAATGTAGGTTAGAAAACTAGAGCATTTTCCCCCAGCACGGGGAAAATAGAAATGTTTTGGTTTATTTATTTATTTGTATCCTAGTTACAAATAACTCAAGGCAGCAAACGTACCTGATAATCCTTCCTCCCCCTATTTTCCCCACAACAGCATCCCAAGAATGTATGAGTGGCTCAAAGTCACCCAGCTGGCTTTCATGGTTAAAGTGGGACTAGAACTCACCGACATTCACTTTCTAGCCCACTGCTTTCATTATAGACCAAACTCTATCTAGACCAGGGGTCTCCAACCCCTGGCCCGTGGACCGCCATCAGGGCTGTAGCGTGCCAGAAACCGGGTCGTGCAAATAAACAAAGCCACATCTGCAGGATGAATGTGAAACCACACCTCCTCTGGTCCACAGAAAAAAACTCTGTCCGCGGAACCGGTGCCTGGTACCCAAAAAATTGGGGGGCTGCTGCTCTAGGCCAGGGGGCACAGGTCTTCTGGAACCCCAGAGGGTCTTAATGCCTCGATGAACACCACTTTTGCAATCCGACGTGTAAGAAGTGTTTATGGCTTAACGCTAATGTTTAATATCCGGTCATTGCAACATTCTAAAGAAACTTGTTTCTTCTTCTAGGCCGTATCGGTTCTCAGGTTGTCATCCCGTATCGCTGTGATGAGTACGATCTCCTGTACCTTCGGCCCATGGGTGACTTGGGACAGATCATTTTTATGGTACGGTGTGAGTTTGCCTCAAATCCTTCCAAAGGCCAACCCACCCACCCCCTACAAAAAAAACCCCAAGTAAAAGTATTTTAACTTGGACTTCACCTTTCCTGTGATTCTTTTTTTTATTAAAAGTTTTAATAAGTTTTACAATTATATATCTTTCCCCTTCCCTCCCTCCCNGACAAGACTTTGGCAGCAACCCAGACTTCCACAGATAAGAAATACACACAAGAGCTTCTCCAGCTTTAGTATAATGGTTGTGTCCTGCAAAAGGTCTCCTCTCAAAGTCTCTTCTTATATACTCTCTTGGGAGGAGCCTAATCGCAACCACCTGGGCCTGATTATATTCTATGTCTCTGTAATTGCTGCCGGCGCTTATCTGCCCGTCTTTGCCTGGCGTCCGGAACCAACTCCCTTTACTCCTCCCCATTGCTCCAGGGCCTGACGTCTTCACCTGTGCTCCAGGGCCTGACGTCATGGGCACACTCCCTTTGTCTTTTACCGCTGCTCCGTGCCTCAGGCGCCTCCTAGTGGCCAACCAGCCTCTCTGATTCCTGCTCGGAGTCTGAACCCTGCCCAGGGTCCTCCACATCTTCCAGAGCCGACTCATAGGGTCCCTCGCTATCTGAGTCTGTCGGCAGCTCCAACGGCTCCTACTGGCCCACAACAGCATAGCATATTAAATTCTTCTTCTTGGATTTAAAAAAAATAGAGTTTGAATTTGAAACCCCTGCTTTAGATGGATTTTGAAGAATTTGCTTCGTTGCCAAATCTTAAAAGTCACAGATTTACCTGTCTTCATATAGAGATGCGACGTTTTCGCGGAGTGCCTATGATTGGCTTTGGGAGGAAAACCGTGAAGCAGCCTGTTTACGTAAGTACCGATTAAATATATTTCATGTCTGGGTAGTCCTTGAATTACAACCGTTTGCTTAATGACCAAAATTACAATCGCACTGAAAAAAAAAGGGACACAACCGTTTTTCACACGTTGCAGCATCCCCAGAGTCATGTGATCAAAATTCTGGCGCTTGGGCCACTGGCATGTATTTATGACGGTTGCACCGTCCCGTGGTCACCTTATCCCCGTTTGCGACCTTCCCAGTTGGGCTTCCGACAAGGAACGTCAGTAGGGGAAGTCTGAATCGCTTAACAACCGTGCGATTCGCTTAACAGCGGCAGTGATTCACTTAACAACTGGGGCGAAAAAGGTCACCGATGGGGCGCAACGCACTTAACGGCAGAAATGCTGGGCTGAATTGTAGTTGTAAGTGGAGGACTGCCTGTATATTTTGCTTAACTTCAAAAAATTGTAATTAACCATATTAATATTTATTTTTTTCTGTTAAATACTATCTGATAGGTGGTTGATGTAGCCCAGGCAATAATTAATGCTATCAAGGACCCTGATTCTAAAGGGAAAACATATGCCTTGGTTGGGTATGTATCCTATTTTTACTTCTCTCATCTAAATAACTATAATGTCTTTTCTGTCTTTAGTGTTTTTGCTTCTTTTTAAAAAAAAATACTCATCAAAACATCACACAGAGAATTTGTGTCCTTATGTATCCACCAATTAGTACCTCTGTGGGTCAGCCGTTTGCTATAGAGCACAGTTTACACAGTTTGATATTTTGGTTAACAAAGATTCAGAGGTCCAGTAAATTGGCTTGGAAGGTTACATAGCTTTCATACTGGGAAAAAAAGCTTTAAAATGAAGGCCCAGTTCTTCTACATTCCAATTGTGTTTAAAATGAAGGGTGGGTAAACTCAGTGGCTCAATCCAAGGGTTCCAGAAGATAAATTTTTTAAGGTCGAGAGAATGATTTACTTAACCGTATTTTTCGGAGCATAAGACGCAGCAAGGTTTTGAAGAGGAAAATGTAAAAGAAAAGTTTTTGCACTCTGCAAACCTCCCAAAACCGGCCTGTTTTTCACAGAAACGGGCCCTTTCCCTCCCCCCCCCCCAAAAGGGCATGAATAGCCCTTAGGAGACTTGTAGACTGTTCTGGGGGGGGGGAGGCCAGAAACGAGCAAAAAACGGGCTGGTTTTTGTGAAAACGGGCCCGTTTTTGTCAAAAAGGGGGCATTATGAAGCTTATAGAGTGCTCCTGGGGGTGGGGGAGGCAAAATTGAGCATAAATGGGCCACTTTTGCTCATTTCTGCCCTCCCCAGCCCCCAGGAGCTCTCTGAAAGCCTCCTAAAGGCAATGCACAGCCATTTTGGTGAAGGGGGTGGGGTTTCAGGAGGCAAAAAATGCTGTATTCAGTGTATATGACGGACCCAGATTTTCAGCCTCTTTTTTGAGGGAAAAAGGTGTGTCTTATACTCCGAAAAATATGGTTACTCTCTTGTACTTAATCATTCCTGTGACCTTAAAAGTTATTTTAAATAAAAGGGTTACCGTATTTTTCAGATTATAATACGCTCCAGACTATAAGACGCACCTAGCTTTTGGGGCGGAAAACAAGGGGGGAGTGTGGAAATCTGCCTCTGCCTCCCAGCATCTATCTGGTATTCATCTGGCTTATTTGCCACGGCCCATTCGCTCATTCGGCATGGCCATTTGCCGCCACCCGTTTGGTGCAGCCCGTTCACCATAGTCCACTTGCCTTCACCACCGCCTGTTCGCCACCGCCTGTTTGTCGCCACGGTGGCCCCTTCCCCACCGCCGCGGCCCATTCTACAACAGTTGATCAGTGCCACAGCAATCCCCCTCTCCCACCGCAATATTCGGAGTATAAGACTCACAGACATTTCTACTCACTTTTTCTGGGAGGGAAATTGCATCTTATACTCTGAAAAATATGGTAATTTTGACTTGTTGGATTCAAGTCTTAAAAGGTCAGCTTTGGCTATTGCCTTGGCTCTCTCGCTTTCTTTATCTTGACTGAAGGCATCCCGAGCCCTCCAAAAAGCTGGTTTGCTTTTTCATGAACCAAAGAAGCTTTGAAAATGTTTTCAAATGAAAAAAGAAAAGAAAAGAAAATCCAGTTGCCGTTTGAAAAAAACATCTTTGGGATAGCAGGTGGTTATTTTCTTTTGTTTATATATCTATGTACGTATGTGTCAGTGGTGAGGTTGATTTTTTTTTACTACCGGTTCTGTGGGTGTGGCATGGCTTGATGGGCGTGGCTTGGTGGCAGGAGAAGGGAACTGTATAATCTCCATTTCCCCTTCCACCCCAATCCAGGGGAAAGTTACTGCAAAATCCCAATCACTTAGTAACTGTGGCAACGCAAGGTCGTAAAATGGGGCAAAACTCACTTAACCGTCTCCCTTAGCATCAGAACCTTTGGGCTTAATTGTGCTCGTAAGCGGAGGACTGCCTGTATTCGGTTTAGTAATTAGCTACAGCGAAATGAAATAAAGGAAAAGGGGAAAAAAAGGTAAAATAAATTATAAAAGAATAAATTGGAGCCCTCTTGTGCATTTCGGTCATATACCGCCTGCTCTGACTCCCCCTGGTCCTCCCATCCAGAGACCAGACTGGCCTTCTTACCTGTCCATCAAAGATGGGAGGGCAGAAGTAGCCATGACAACCCTCAAGCAACAGAGCAGGTGGGGAGGAGAGCTGAAGATCCCTGTTGTGGCCTGTCGGTCACTGGCCCCTCCAGCAATTGAATCGGAGGAAGAGGAGGCATAGGAGTCAGGGTCAGCCTCAAGGCAACCTGGGAGCTCCGAGGGGGAAGAGGGAATGGAGCTGTCACACAGAGAGAGAGGCAGAGGTGGAGCCTGGGCCGTCCGTCAGCCCTTAGATGGAGAGTCAACAGCCCCAGGTGTGGAGATGGCTAATGAGGAAGAGAAGGAACAGCACCATGGATGTGCAGAGGAGAGGAGAGCAGTGGAAATCTACGGGCCGGTCCTTGGGACGTGACTAAAGAAGCCCCAGCCTAGCTCTGGGAATAAAAGGCAGGAGGCGGAGATGAGTCCTTGTAGTAGAAACCCAACGAGGAAGAAGGAGCTGCGAACACACACACACACACACACACACACACAGGCCTCCAGACACAGATAAATGGGCAAACCACTTCCCTGCAGTTGTTGCTAAAAATGTACAGTTGTGTTTTTCTGGTCTTTACTCTTCCATCTTCAGCAGAAACCTCACCTTGCTTGTTTGAACTGAAAGAGTCCCGGTTTTTCCCCTGGCCCAGAAATCTCATGTCACAATTTTTCTGTGAATCAATATTTCACGTGCTTTCTCATCCTAAATCAAAGGTCCTTTGTGGTCGTGCATAGAATAGATTAGAATCCTTTATTGGCCAACGCAAGGAATTTGTCTTCGGCGCATCTGCCAAGGTTACTAATAAGCTGTCAAAATCGTGCCAGGAAACTATTAAAACATTATAAATTATCAAGGTACAAGCAACCTGGTTATATAGTCATAAACGGGGAGAGATTGGTACTAGGAAGGAAGAGAAGAAGAAGAATAGTAATGCAATCTTGGTAAATTATTGACAGTGTTGTGGGAATGAGTTGAGAGATGGCATTAGGGGGAAAAACTGTCCTTGTGTCTAGTTGTCCTGGTGTGCAGTGTGCCCTATAGCCGTGATGGCTAACCTTTTTATTGTTGTGTGCACAATGCAATGCACATGCAACACCCCCATGCCCTGCCCCCCTGCGTATGCACGCTTGACTCCCCCCCCAATGCTCCCCGCCCCCAGGAATGCACGCTTGACCCCTGTGCATGCACGCACAACCACCCCCTGTGCCCCATTTTGGGCCCAGCAGGCCTCCCTGCAGCCTCCTGGACAAAAAACAGGCCTTTGGGGGGGATGCACCCCCCCACTGCCATCCCTTGCACATGCCCACGTGACTCCCCGTCCCCACATGCACACACATCCCCCTCCCCTTCCCCCTATGCATGCCCGTGCAACCCAAAAAGAATCTGACTGGTCGTGACCCGTCAAAACCGCGCCCGACTAAACCCCGCCCGATTAAACCGTGTCGCTGACGTCACCAACAGGGTTAGGGTTAGGTTTAGGATTAGGTTAAGGGTTAGGTTTAGGGTTAGGTTAAGGGTTAGTTTTAGGGTTAGGTTTAGGGTTAGGGTTAGGGTTAGGTTAAGGGTTAGTTTTAGGGTTAGGTTTAGGGTTAG